GTATTTTTCATGTCTTTCAAACTAATTAGCATACCCCTGTGCCCATAGTGCTTTCTCTACCAGACACCACCGATGCTCATAACCATGAACACACTAGCCTAATTGCTCTTACTCTATAAAAGTGCCTGAATCTAACTTCCATATACTTGTTCCTTTTGTTTGACATGCACTTGCATTTGCTGCTGTGGCAAAGCAGGCCTAATTGTTATACTTGCACAATAAAAATAAAGAATATAAAAAAAATAAAACCAATTCCAAACTATGGCCCTCCAGGTCACATCAGGTTTAGCGACACTAATAGTTGAAACGCGTTGTGCTGCATTTAATGTCGGTATTGCTGTGCTCCCTGCTGTTTGCTGATTTGAGAAGTTTTTTACTTACTTAAAAGCAAGATATTATTTTTATTTTAATAAATATCTGTATACTGACTTAATTTTCATATTGTTTTACTCTCTTGAGAACCCGAAGAATCCTATTGTAAGTCTCAGAAAAATCAGAGTTTCAATTTGCATAAGTGACCACCTTCCAGATATTCATCTATACAGACATACTGTGCAATATATTCTATTTTTTTTATTTTCTTTTTCAGCCCCCTATACCAACAAGGTATTTTGGGCAAGTTTTATACATTGCATTTTATATATTTCTATAGCATTATATTTTTAGTTTTTATGTTTTATGTGTGTGTTCTTAGTTGGAATTGCTTGATTATTCCACAGATCACTTTGTATCTCTCATCTCACTTACAAAATCACTATGTTTATCATTCTCCATGTTTTCAAAAATGTATTGAAGAATGTAAAGCAGAATTACCTAGTTCAGGTGCAACAAAATTTATTTCTGACTTGCCAAAACTTTTTTAGGAACGATATTCTGATCTTGATGGACAAACAGATTAAATAAGGCTGTATCAGAATCCATTTGACTCCAATATTAAAAAGTAGCAAATTAATCAAATGCAAATTATTGATTTCCAGCCAGATGATATGCTGAAAGACATGTATAAAAAGGAAATCTGATCCAATTTTATAAATCTCTGCAACCTGAGCAGTTTCCAAATCTGAAGCGATATGCTTGTGCATTTACGTCAGTTTTTGGTGCAACATACCTATGTGAACAAACATTTTCAAGAGTAAAGTATGTCAACTCCAACTATCGAGCACCTGAAGTACATTCTAAGAATTGACTCCTCAAGCTTATAAAGCTTAAAGGACCACTATAGGCACCCAGACCACTTCAGCTTAATGAAGTGGTCTGGGTGCCAGGTCCAGCTCATTGACAGCCGCTAGAGGCGCTTCCGCATTTTCACAGTGAGAAAACGCCAGCGTCCATAGGAAAGCATTGAGAATGCATTCCTTTGGACTGGCTGAATGCGCGCACGGCTCGTGCCGCGCATGCGCATTCAGCCGATGACGACGACAAGGAGGAGGAGAGGAGGAGGAGAGTCCCCCGCCTGGCGCTGGAAAAAGAGGTAAATTTAACCCCTTCCACCCCCTAGAGCCCGGCCTTTAAGGCTATTCAACTTGGTGTATCAACATACATGCATAGTTATTGCACTTAAATCAATCCACCTAATTTTTATGATTGCACTTTTTTAATCTAGCACTTTATTAATATGAACTTTATTATCAAGAAAACACTTTACAAAACTTTAACAAAATAGCTTTTTGATTTTGGAGGCATTCTTAAAAAAAGTCCACAATTGCTTATTGCTTTTCAGATAAATATTTGTATCTATCAATTTACAATTTATGTATAATTTGGCACTTTCATTTGGTTTTCTACTGATTAAACTTGTACATTAGAAGTTTATTAGGTAAGTTTGCGTTCAGCACTACAGGGAGTGCAGAATTATTAGGAAAGTTGTATTTTTGAGGATTATTTTTATTATTGAACAACAACCATGTTCTCAATGAACCCAAAAAACTCATTAATATCAAAGCTGAATATTTTTGGAAGTAGTTTTTAGTTTGTTTTTAGTTTTAGCTATGTTAGGGGGATATCTGTGTGTGCAGGTGACTATTACTGTGCATAATTATTAGGCAACTTAACAAAAAACAAATATATACCCATTTCAATTATTTATTATTACCAGTGAAACCAATATAACATCTCAACATTCACAAATATACATTTCTGACATTCAAAAACAAAACAAAAACAAATCAGTGACCAATATAGCCACCTTTCTTTGCAAGGACACTCAAAAGCCTGCCATCCATGGATTCTGTCAGTGTTTTGATCTGTTCACCATCAACATTGCGTGCAGCAGCAACCACAGCCTCCCAGACACTGTTCAGAGAGGTGTACTGTTTTCCCTCCTTGTAAATCTCACATTTGATGATGGACCACAGGTTCTCAATGGGGTTCAGATCAGGTGAACAAGGAGGCCATGTCATTAGATTTTCTTCTTTTATACCCTTTCTTGCCAGCCACGCTGTGGAGTACTTGGACGCGTGTGATGGAGCATTGTCCTGCATGAAAATCATGTTTTTCTTGAAGGATGCAGACTTCTTCCTGTACCACTGCTTGAAGAAGGTGTCTTCCAGGAACTGGCAGTAGGACTGGGAGTTGAGCTTGACTCCATCCTCAACCCGAAAAGGCCCCACAAGCTCATCTTTGATGATACCAGCCCAAACCAGTACTCCACCTCCACCTTGCTGGCGTCTGAGTCGGACTGGAGCTCTCTGCCCTTTACCAATCCAGCCACGGGCCCATCCATCTGGCCCATCAAGACTCACTCTCATTTCATCAGTCCATAAAACCTTAGAAAAATCAGTCTTGAGATATTTCTTGGCCCAGTCTTGACGTTTCAGCTTGTGTGTCTTGTTCAGTGGTGGTCGTCTTTCAGCCTTTCTTACCTTGGCCATGTCTCTGAGTATTGCACACCTTGTGCTTTTGGGCACTCCAGTGATGTTGCAGCTCTGAAATATGGCCAAACTGGTGGCAAGTGGCATCGTGGCAGCTGCACGCTTGACTTTTCTCAGTTCATGGGCAGTTGTTTTGCGCCTTGGTTTTTCCACACGCTTCTTGCGACCCTGTTGACTATTTTGAATGAAACGCTTGATTGTTCGATGATCACGCTTCAGAAGCTTTGCAATTTTAAGAGTGCTGCATCCCTCTGCAAGATATCTCACTATTTTTGACTTTTCTGAGCCTGTCAAGTCCTTCTTTTGACCCATTTTACCAAAGGAAAGGACGTTTCCTAATAATTATGCACACCTGATATAGGGTGTTGATGTCATTAGACCACACCCCTTCTCATTACAGAGATGCACATCACCTAATATGCTTAATTGGTAGTAGGCTTTTGAGCCTATACAGCTTGGAGTAAGACAACATGCATAAAGAGGATGATGTGGTCAAAATACTCATTTGCCTAATAATTCTGCACTCCCTGTAGCATTACCACGGCAACCACACAGCAACATGCAACAATGGGTGAAGATAAGGAAGAAGAAAAGAGGACAGCTACATCCAAATGAAGAAACAAATTGAAGCTAAAAGTAAAAAAAAAAAAATAGAATATATTTGTACAGTTATAGATTTTTCTGTTATATGACATTTACACAATATCAAGTGGACAGTGTTGTTAGCCACCCTCTGATCTAAGTAACACCAGCTTCCCAGTGCTTTTTCTATATATTTTTTTCACTTTTAGCTTTATGGTGTTTCTTCACTGGTTGCGATGGTGCGTCCTCTTAGGTACTATGTCAGTGTTGATGCATTCAGAGGTCATATTGGTAAGTCAGATTCAGTGGCAGACTAAGTGGGGGTGGATGGTCCTCCCCGGGTGCCACTCACTAGGGGGGTGCCATGACCAAGGCGGCCTTAGGATGTGTGAGCTTTGCGGCAGGGACTGGTTGCCATGGCAGCCGCATAGCTCACACACGCAGGCTGCAGAACAAAACCAGCCGCATAGAAAAAAAAATGGAGGCAGAGCTAATTGGCAGTGGGGGCGGAGCCAAACCAGCAGCAGGTGTGAGGCTTAACACGGCCTCCACTTGCTGCTGTTACTGCTGCACATCGAGGGGAAGCAGGATGGAGTCCCTGCTTCCCCAACTAACAGACTCCAGGAACTTCAATGGATCCTGTGTGTAAGTGAGAAAGAGTGTGTGTGTTTGTGTGAATGTCTTCCTGTTTACTCTGTGTGTGACTGTCTTTCTGTGACTGTGTGTATGTGTGATTGCCTGTGACTGTGTGTGTGTGTGTATGACTGTCTTTCTGTGACTGTATGCATGTGACTATCTACCTGTAACTGTGTGTGACTGTCTGCCTGTAACTGTGTGTGTGACTGTGTGCAAGTGACTATGTGCCTGGAACTGGACTCTGAAGACTGTTGCTAATATTGTTGTATAAAAAAAAATATATGTTATTGTAAGGGGCTGAGCAGGGCTTTAGAGGGAGATGCAAGTTTTTTTGGGATGGGGGTGCAGGAGTTTTATAGAAGGGTGAGCAGGGGTTTGAAGAAGGGGGCAGGGATTTTGTTTAAGGGGGGCTGAGCAGGAGATTTTTGGAAGGGGATTGCAGGGGTTTTGTAGAACGGGAGCAGGACATGCATTTTGTAGAACAGCGGGCAGAAGAGGGGTTTTGTATAAGGGGGCAGGACAGCTTTTTCCAAAATGTACACATTTGTGTAATTATTAAAAATGTAAACATTAAAAATATTGCGGGTGTTTTTTTACATTTTAAAGTGGGGATGCCAAACACAGGAGCCGCCCTGCGTGCCAAGTGCTCTAGGTATGCGCCTGGTCAGATTGGTAAGTCATATGAATATATTTACTATAAATACCCCAAGTTTTGATTATTATGTTTGATCTTGAGAAAGGCCCAAGGAGGGGCAGAAATTTTGGTTACAAATGTAACAATCACAGTTTGCATTTTCAATAAAAAAAGGTTTTGTTTCAATTAAAATGTCCAAAAAGTGTTCCTATCTTTCATATTTATTGCTAAGTACAGCATTGGAGGCACCAAGGAAGTTGGATTCAAGGTAGAGTGCCAGTGTTTGGGTCATCATTACACACACACACACATATATATATATATATGTGTGTGTGTGTAATGATGACCCAAACACTGGGGTCTAGCATTGTCTTGCATTAGGAGGAACCCACGTGCCTACCGCACCATCATATGGTCTTACAAGGAGTCTGACTACCTCTGGCGAGCACATGGAGGGCTGTGCGGTCCCCCAAAGAAAGGCCACCCCACACCATTACTGACCCACTGCCAAACCGGTCATGCTGGAGGATGTTGCAGGCAGCAGAACGTTCTCCACGGCATCTCCAAAAAAATAATTTTTAGTTCTACATGACATTTTAACTGTCAATGTCATAATACTGTTTGCTTTTACTGCAATAAAATACACATATTTGTATTCAGCATAGTCTCACGTGTAAAACAGTACCCCCTATGTACAGGTTTTATGGCGTTTTGGGAAGTTACAGGGTCAAATATAGCACGTAACATTTGAAATTGAAATTCGCCAGATAGGTTACGTTGCCTTTGGGACTTTATAGTAGCCAGGAATGAAATTTACACCCATAATGGCATACCATTTGCAATAGTAGACAACCCAAGGTATTGCAAATGGGGTATGTCCAGTCTTTTTAGTAGCCATTTGGTCACAAACACTGGCCAAAGTTAGCGTTAGTATTTGTTTGTGTGAAAAATGCAAAAAAACGCCAATTTTGGCCAGTGTTTGTGACTAAGTGGCTACTAAAAAAGACTGGACATACAACGTTTGCAATACCTTGGGTTGTCTACTATTGCAAATGGTATGCCATCATAGGGGTAATTTTCATTCTCGGGCTACCATAGGGTCTCAAAGGCACCGTAACCAATCTGGTGAATTTTAATGTGAAAAAAATGAAGCGCAAGCCTTATATTTGACGCTGTAACTTTTGAAAACACCATAAAACCTGTACATGAGGGGTACTGTTGTACTTGGGAGACTTCGCTGAACACAAATATTTGTGTTTCAAAACAGTAAAAAGTATCACAGCAATAATATCGTCCGTGTAATTGCTGTTTGTGCATGAAAAATGCAAAAATGTCACTTTTACTGGCGATATCATCGTTGTAATACATTTTACTGTTTTGAAACACTAATATTTGTGTTCAGCAAAGTCTCCTGAGTAGAACAGTACCCCCCATGTACAGGTTTTATGGTGTCTTGGAAAGTTATAGGGTTAAATATAGTGCTAGCCAATTAAATTCCCTTTACTTTCGGCATGTGTTGTCAGGCAGGTCCCTCTAATTGTAATTAATTAAGATACCTAATAATATAAAAATATTACATAAATATATATGTAGAATTAATATATGTATATATATATATAGGTATGTGAATCTATATGAGTATATCTATATAATTTTTTTTAAATATTTTTATTTATATATAGGTATATATATAGTGATATATACGTATATATTTAAGTATGTAGATATATATATTATTTCGTTCTTCATGTATTTTGATATAAATATATATATATTAATATCACAATACAGTTAGAACGAAATAACACACATCTATATATTTTTAAATTATTTTTTTAATTTTATTTTTTAACGTATTTACATATTTAATTTTTTTATATTATATATAAATATATATATAACAATAATTATATATATATTTAATCAGTATGAGTCTACGTGTAATTTGATATTAATATATATATATATAATTATATATATATTAATAGTAAAATACACCTAGACAGTGTATGTGTGTGTATGTATATGTGTATATATATACTTAGATCATATTATATATACTTAGATCATATATATATATAATATATATATATGATCTAAGTATATATATTTTTTTTATACACTAATACATTTTATTTTATTTTTATTTTCAGCCAGCAGGGGGACCACCTGTCATTACAGGCAGCCCCCCTGCTGGCAATGCAGGAGGCAGCCTACCCGGCCATGTGATTGTGGGGTCCTCGCAAGGACCCCACTCTCACATGGCCGGGGGGCACCCGAGGAAGAGGATCTACTGTGGGGGTGCTCCCTGGGAGTACCGGGTAAGTAGGCAAAAACCGGAGGGCGTACAATTACGCCCGGCGGCGTTTAGAGCCGCCTAAAATAGGGCGTAATTGTACGCCCTCCTGTCAGAAGGGGTTAAGTGTTCCCTTTATTTTTTTGAGCAGAGTATATATATATATATATATATATATATTGGAAAATGAATGAAAGTTTTGGATCGCTTGCTTTAAGACACAGATGTTGCTCTTAAATTAGGCAATAAAAAAACACTTTATAGCTTAAAATGAATATCTGCTACACACTTGAGTGCAATCCCACTGTACAGAGAGCATGATAAACCACTGAAATAGTTTCAAGTGGAGCAGTATCATATGTATAATAATAATGTAGGATGTATACAACTGTAGTATTTGGATCCTCCAACAGGTGGCACTCAATCAATAAACATGAAATAAAAAAAAGGAAATTGCAGATAGTATAGATCATTTTGAATAAATTATTCTTTCCTGTAGTACACCACTATATATTATGCAGTTATATATATGCAGTTTGAATATGTATATATTAGAATAATTGCTTCTATAAGAAGTCAATATTATCTGTATTCACAATACAATTTTATTCTGTGCAAATATAGCGGATAGCAGAAACAACATATAAACAGTACAGTCAGTAAAAATCAATAAAAATGCTGCCTCTTACAAGAAGAGGTGGTGAGTACATACGGCATATACCGTTACTCATGAACAGGCTCAATATAATGGGTGGCGGGCGTCTCTGTATGGGTAGTAAAGTCCTCATAAAGCTCTCTCGATGAAATTCCCAGCTCCCACCGTGCGGCCCAAAATGGTAAGCTCCACCCCCTCCGAATGACGTCTACGCGTTTAGCCGTTAGATGGCGGCTTCCTCAGGACTGTTGTGGACTGCCACTTTCTAAAATGGAGTCCATAATACGTCCTGAGGAAGCCGTCATCTACCGTCGAAACGTGTAGACGTCATCCCGGGGGGGGAAGCAAATCGCTAGACCACGGACGGTGTGGAGTTACATAGTTACATAGCTGAAAAGAGACTTGTGTCCATCAAGTTCAGCCTTCCTCACATATGTTTTTGCTGTTGATCCAAAAGAAGGCAAACAAGTAGTCTATAGCACTTTCAATTTTGCAACATACTAGTAAAAAAACATTTTCTTTGCCTTAGAAGGAATCTCCTTTCTTCCAGCCTAAATGTGTGACCTCGTGTCCTATGTATAGCCCTGTTTATGAATAGATTTCCAGATAATGGTTTGTGCTGGCACCGAATATATTTTTATAATGTTATCATATCCCCTCTGAGGCGCCTTTTTCTAAACTAAAGAGATTTACATTTTTTTAGACATGTTCAATTTGTTTCTGTCCGAATTCGAATGTCCGAATAGCTGAATTGCCGATGTGCCGGATTCCTGACGTCCCAAAGTCCTGAAATTGCCGAATTTCAGAAGTGTCGAAGTTCCAAAGTGCCGAAGTGCACAGTATTGCCTAAGTACTAATATACTTACTCAGTGGAAGAATGAAGAATGTTACACTGTATACAATTTTAAATAAAAAGTATACAAACAGGATTCAGCTGTAAGCATTTGCAACACTTACAACAATCAAGTAACATACATTCATATAAAATGTAAGTTACTTAGCCTGTCAATGTAATGACAGGAATGAATAAGTAGATAACTCCCTAATTCCCACGGTATTAGGGAGCTATCTACTAAAAGGTTGAAAGACCTAAATTGGTCTCTCAGCCAAATTTACGAATACTAAGTAAAGATTACTTAGTATTAGTAAATCAAGCCCCTACTCGCTATACCGCGAGTAGGGGCATGTCTATTAAAGCCTGTGGCTGCTCACTGTAAAAAAAACTAAAAATATATATATATATTGCCCCCCCCAACCCCCACCCGCCATTCAGGGTGGACAATAGGTCCCCCCCCCTTATTCTAACTTAGGGTCCCTACCCACCGCTCAGGGGTGGGGACCAGGGGCAGGACAATAGGTCCCCCCCTTATTCTAAGTTAGGGCCATCACCCACCGCTCAGGGGTGGGGGCCGGGGGGAGGACAATAGGTCCCTGCTTATTGATATTCAGGGTCCCCACCCGCTGCTCAGGGGTGGGGGCCGGGGAGGAGGACAATTGGTCCCCCCCTTATTGGTATTTAGGGCCCCCACCCACCGCTCAGGAGTGGAGGCCAGGGGGGATGAAAATAGGTCCCCCCATTATTCTAACTTAGCGCCTCCAACCACCACTCATGGGTGGGGGCCGGGGGGAGGACAATAGGTCCCCCCATTAGTTTACTTTAGGGCCCCCACCCACCACTCAGGAGTGGGGGCCAGAGGGGAGGACAATAGGTACCCCTTATTGATATTTAGGGCCCCCATCCGCTGCTCAGGGGTGGAGGCCGGGGGGACGGGGGACAATAGGTCCCCCCCCCTTATTTTACTTTAGGGCCCCCACCCTCCGTTTAGGGGTGGGAGCCGGGGGCAGATTGTTTTTTTAGGTTTTTTCTACAGTGAGCAGCCACAGGCTACTCACTGTTTAAAAGACATGCCCTTACCCGCGGTATATTGAGTAGGGGAAAAATTTACTAATACTAAGTAATTTTTACTTAGTATTAGTAAATTTGGCTGAAAGACCAATTTAGATCTTTCAGCCTTTTGGTAGATAGCTCCCTAATATCGTGGGAATTAGGGAGTTATCTACTTAGAGGCTGCAAGAAAAGTCCCGAAATTTCGAAATGCTGAAGTGCCAAAGTTCCGAAGTGCCGAAATTCCGAAGTTGCCGAAATTTCAAGATCATTTATAAATATGTTAAAAAGAAGTGGTCCCAAAACAGAACCCTGTGTCCAGCCTGAAAATGTACCATTAATGACTACTCATTGTACTCTATCCTTAAGCCAATGTTCTACCCAAGAACAAGAATAATCATCTAGAGTAAGGTAAGTAGGGAAAATACATGTCCCTCCCACAATTACAGGCCAAACGGCCTTAATACATATGTACACACATCATATACGTATATATTATATATATATATATATATATATA